GTTGTAAAATACAAATCTTATTTCTTGCAACATGAACTACATCATGTTCTCTATACAAAGATCAAAACTTTGCAAAAAAAACTTTCAAATTATTAAATATTAGATCACGTCATTTAAAAAAAGATAAAAACTATAATAATGCAAAATCAAAAAATAGTATTTCAATAAACTTAAGTAATGATCTTGGAGTTAGATAGCTTTAAATTTGAAGTTCAATTATCAATAGTACTTAATTAATGAATCCTTGAAACTTTGATTTGTACCATCAAACTTTTGAAATAAGACAATTCTTAATTCTCTAATACTTGAATGATATTCTATTATAAGAAAATAGATATGATCTGGTGCAAATATTGAAACAACTCTAATCATCTTTATATCTTGATTTTTTGTCATTTTTATTCTTACTTGTAGTCATAAATTGAGTTGATGCATTGAAAATATTAATTCTTTTAATTATTTTTGTATTTATGCCATTGTATTCTTTATTTCAATAAGCTCTACTATAATAATACTTAAAAAAAAAGATATGTCTAATATCAATTAAGATAAATAAAAGAAAGAGCTTAAAAATAAAGAAAATACTAAAAATAATATCAATTTAGAAGAAAATAATCCATAATTCCTAATACACTTATGTCTTATAAAAATAATGGAAAATCCACTTTTAATCCTAAAAAGCAAATCTCTAATATTATAAATATATTCTTATTAATTTATCAATAATAAGAATTTGATGTAAGCAAATAAGTAAGTCAGGTTTTTTTAAAGAAGTATGAAAAAATAGAAATAAAAAAGTATGTATAATAAAAAGAAATTAGAATGATTATTGCCAAAAGATAAAAAAAAAAAAAAAAAAAAAAAAAAATAGACATTCTTGAAATTAGTCTAGAAGCAAGAAAGGAATTAATAAGAATGAAGAAGGCTTCACTCTTGCTTCTATATATATTATCTACCTAAGAGCTATATAGTAATGTTCTATAGGACCTCCAAAACGTATTGACTTTATACAACATATTATTATATGGCATGTTTTTCTATCTAAGAATATACTAGATTCCTAATTGTAGAAAATTTAGCTTTAATTTATAGATCAAGTTTTAATAAGTGATTTATTCTTATTATAAAAGTTAAATAAATGTAGCAATATAAAAAGATATTTTAATAATAAAAACCTTTTATATTTAAGAGATTTTGTATACAAGGCTTTCTATAGCATCTAGAAATGTCCTAACATCCTTTGATATATCAAATCATAACTAACTATTTGCCAATAAGTTATATTATCGATAAGCTCAAAAAAATCCATAATCTTCTTACAAAAATCTACTTTTATATCATAATTTTGCTATAGATCCATATCTCCATCTTTAATATATATATATATATATATATATATATATATATATATATATTAAGTATTAGCTCCCAAAACCTCTTTACTTTGCATAAAGTACTAAATTATAGCAAAATCATTTCAAAATATTTTTCTCCTGCAAAAAAAAAATTTCTTTAAATTTTAAAATATTATATCTCTTAATCCAATTATTCAATTTTTTCAAATTTCTAGATAATTTAGCATTTATTTTTAAGCTTTATCACAAAAAAAATTAAGTGTAAATCTAATATAGATAATTTGGCATCTTAGAAACCTTAGCATATGCTCTAAATTCTAACTTAAAAGCATCCAAAAACTATTTTCTTTACATCTCAAAAATCCAAAATCTAAATACTACAAAATTTGATATATAGCTTTATAACATGATAGTACAAATTTTTCAAAAATTTTAGTCAAAGATTTCTCCAAATACCTAAGATATGGCTAGAACCAAATCCCTCATAAAATTGGTTCATTAATAAACCTCAATTTGAAAGCTTTGTCTTCAAGCAATCATTGCATGTTCAAATCAACTCCAAATCTTTTATTTTTTACATGAAAAATATAGTCTTTTAAATCAAATTTCTATTGTACAATCCTATCCTCAAAAGCTCTTCATATGCATCCATTATGTCCCAAAGAGTGATAGTAGGTACAAAATCAACAATTGAACTTTGAGCGCTTATATCTTCTTCAAGAAAACTCCAATTCATACAAAATTTATACCAAAATCATACCTAAAATCCTAATCTTGACGATTCTAACTTTTGATGTTTGAATGGCTTCAAAAGAATAACCCTAATTCCTAATAAAGCCTCAAGCAGCCTCCTTGAAGTCCATTGGACATGTCTTTTGGCCAATAAGAATATAGATTTTTATCATCCATCTCTATTCATCCATATAATAGGCCTAATTATTCTTTTTTATACAAAAATCCTTCTTTATTCATTTTTTTTAATAAGTTTTATATAATACGTACATAATATGTGCATTTAAATATCAAATAAAATAAAATAAAATAAAAAAGATTTCAAGAATCACCAATTTCTAATAAAGGTGGCTCTAAATATATAAAAACTATTATCAATATAAAATCAACCTCAATAATAGCTCTTTTAAACTAACTTCTTTAAAGAAGTAATTTAATTATATTTTATAATCAACTAAAATCTAATAACATGACTCTTACTACATTGTACAATAAATTATATATAAAATATATATATATATATATATATATATATATATATATATATATATGCATTATTTACATCGTAGCTGAACCAAAACATGATAGCATATTTTAATTTACAAGACAAGTTTTCAATATAAGTGCCACATAGTTAACTTATTTTGCAAGCTATCAACATGTGGTTAACTTGATTAAGTTTCTAATCTACCAATCAACTACAAACATATGTAAAGTCAAAATAACATCTATGAAGTTTCTAAAAATCTTTTCTAGAAGATATTATGAAATTAATCATCTTTTATATATTTCTATCTATTCATACTTCCTAAGTAACAATTACAATAAATAAGTATATATATATATATATATATATATATCCATGACACCACATGTGGTAGGTTGAGAAACAAGCTAAGTATGTAGCATATATATAAAAAACTTACCTTGTAAGTTAATATATGTATTTTACAAAGTGAACATGTTTTGGAGGTGCTATAGAACATCGCCACATAGCTCTTAGTTTGAGAGTATATGAAGGTAAGAGTAAAGTCTTCTTCACTCTTGTCAATGCCTTTGTATTCTTTAGTCTTGTTTCAAGACTTTCTAATCTTCTTGTCTATAGCAATAGCTATTCTAGTTTAATACTATAGTATCATCTTTGAGAGATTTTTTAGTCTTTTTGAGTAACATAACAATATATTGACCTTTTAATTCTTTGAAGTTCATGTTCTTAATACATAGTGATATTATTAGTGCAGAAAAGAATTATAATTGTTTTATCATTCTCAATGTAGTTCCGCTTACACCTTGTATGATTGACTTTTTCATAGCCAAACTTCTCATAAAACAAGCATTACATAGAAACCACTTGATCTTTATTCTCATCTTGTGGATTTGGCATGAGGCCAAACTTTGTCTCTACAGAGGATTTTGAAAGGGTCTGTAACTCCTTCACCATTATGAATTTGACATGCATGTGTCAATGTGACTATTTTAAATATAGATTGTGTTACAAGGTGTCTCTCCCATTGTGTAAAGAAATACTATTGAGCCTTTATTTTAGGACATTTTTTAAATCTTATTCTAAGAAAATTAAGATTTTTTTGTAAAAAGTCTTAATTTAAAGTAGAATATAGATCCTTAAAAAAATCATTAAGGAATGTAGATCTTATTTTTAATTTTATTATCAAAAGTGCCATCATCTATGAATTATATTTTGTTTTAATAACTTTCAAAGTATAATAACTTTCAACTTTCAAACATTGAAATTACATCTAATTACAGAATCTTTATAAAATAATAAAGATGTAAAAAATCATAATTTATTATGATTTATCATACTTATTTATTTTTACATCAAAGTTTTTGATACCAAAACTTCAATTAAAAATTATAAGATTTAAAAATTACCATGATTTAAGAGAGTTGTTGCAACAAATATAATTTTTTATAGTTTTTTTTTATGTGCATTACATTTTTATATAAGGTTCTTGCCAACACATGCTTTACAACAATTTTTGAAATGAATCCAAATTGTTAAAATTGTATATCTCTCCTCCTCTCAAAAGCATTAGATGTACTTATAAAGAGTAAGAAGAAGAAAAGAATAGAAACTCAATAGAATTCAAAACAAAACCATGAGATATACTTATAAAGAATAAGAAAGAAGAAAAGAATAGAAACTCAATAGAATTCAAAACAAAACCATGAGATATACTTATAAAGAATAAGAAAGAAGAAAAGAATAGAAACTCAATAGAATTCAAAACAAAACCATGAGATATACTTATAAAGAATAAAAAGAAGAAAAAAATAGAAAATAGAATTCAAAACAAAGAAATGAAAGCAATAGACGTAGTTTATAATAAAATGGCGCCAACGTGGACCTCAAAACGGTTATGGGGACCAAGGCCTGCCATGCATCACCGACATAACCCCAATGGGACGGTCTTAGGGCCAGGCGGAGATGGAGCCCGCGGGGATCGACACCTAGCCGCCAGATGCCCCTGCATGAAACCTGGACGCTGCACGGTCGTAGGGCAGAATGGGTTCACATACGCTCATGCCCATGCTTCATCGCGTGACATATCTTACTGCGCTGTCACTCGACCCTGTCTCTCTCGCTCTCTCGCATTCTCGCCATTCGGCACTTGCTCAAGGCCTGTTTCGCCATCGTCTCTAGCAACAACACGCACTCACCCTGCTCCTCCTGCGACCAAACAGTTAATAGCCACGACGCCCTTACAACTGACACTGACACTGAACTGGATTGCGTTGTGACGACGATTCGCTCGTTCCCTGGAACCGAATCAAGAACAATGTAAGTTAGGAAGAAATTGGAGAGGTTGTGGTCGTGGTGTTACGAGGAGAAGATATTTGTGAGCGGTAACAGTGATGTTGATGGCTGTGATCTGAGGACTTTCGGTGAGTCTGAGTTCATGTGAGGGAGGCTATACGAAAGCATGTCGCCAGTTGAGGATTCCATGTCGATGTTTGCATCGGCATGGAAGTTTCTTAACCGCTTTTGATCGGTTTGTTCGTGGTGAGGGAGTGGCGTTGGAGCTGTGGCACCTCAAATAGAAGGACTGGGGCCGCATGTTGACGTGGTTTAGGGTGTTTTTGGCTCCCCTAACTGTCATGTTGAGCTTTTCTTGATGTTTTGATGCTTATCGTCTCAGATATTTGGCTCTGCGGTGTGCGTTGATGTCATAGTAAGTTCTGCAACATGGATTGTGAGTTTTACGTTTCGACGCGAATGAAATGAGTGGCAAGCGTTTGGACTGAGTATGAGTCTAGCAGAGTGTCAGAGGTGAGTGGCGCATTATGGGGCCATGAGAATCTTTTTATAGATGATCCCGGACGTTAAACGAATCCCAAGGGTTCGTATCAACTTGATTCCTGCCCAGTAAGTCGTGTGGTTGGAGGTCTTTAAACGTTAGTTTTTTTTTGTACGGATTCTGTGTGCTTGAGTTAATTTGCGTGGGGCTTGCCCAATTGAAGAGACTTGGTGTGCTGTAGGTTTTGAGGTATCAAGAGATGTCTGGCTAATAGTGTTACTCGCTGGACCGTATGAAAACTGCCAGCGACACTGGTGAATTAGGCATTGGTTTTTGTTGTGTTTCGAGTTTTGGGATTCATCAACTCTTCTTTTTCAGTTGCTCCTCTTTTCATCAAGCAACTATTGCCCGTTCGATGACAATTTTTTGATGTTTTGGTAAAGTCACGAACAAGTGCTCAGGAAACACAATCTACTCAGTGCTCAATCGAATATTGTATATGTCATGTCCATTTCGAGATTTCCAGTTCTCACGTGGTTATTTTGGCTATTTTTCATTATGAGCAGCTGGTACTTCGGGCCGAAGTCGTGCTAAACAAGCATGGCACGATCAATAGATCCGCTTGTGGTAGGGAAGGTGATAGGAGACGTTATTGATACGTTCGTACCAAGTGTGGATATGGCCATTCACTATTCGACCAGACAGGTATGACATGATGTTTTAGCTCAGTTCTATGCTGTATCAATGTAAATCTGATAGGCATTTTGTACTCCCAACACTTTGTGTGTCTGCATTCTCGGAAATTGGTAGCGAAAGAGTTGTGGCAATGAATGGGAAAATATCAGTTGTTTGGTTTCTGGTGTATCCTCACGCCTTTGTACTCGAAATTAGGATGCGGTGGCTAAGGTATTCACTCACAGGATTGAAATAAGTTCACGTACGGTAAATTCAGTATTTATGTCATGCTTACATGTTCTCTTCTGAATGGACTGTTTAGTGATATCTTTCTGTTCTCTGAGAGCAGCATGTGTAGAGGCTAGGTTTTTGAGATTCATTACATACAACTTGCAAAGCATGCAACTCATTGACCCTTTTATTCGGTTGGTGCAGGTGACTAATGGATGCCAGATGATGCCCTCCGCTACAGCTCAGGCGCCAGAAATTCATTTATCTGATAAGAGTGGAGGGAACAATCTTTACACACTGGTATGATATTTCTCCTGCTTCCTTGATCTTAACTGCAGAACTGATATTTCTTTCAACTAATAGTTATTTTTGAGAAAGGTCTGTGCCTATGCAGTCGTAACTTTTCTGGAATCGGCACCTTATGACGTCATGAATATATATATATATATATATATATATATATGCTCCTCATCTAGTTTTACGCATGACTAAATATCAAGGGCACAGTTGGTAATGACGTGGCGATTTTCTTGAATTACTGATGGGGCGGATGATGGATCTGTGAGCGTTGCAACATAGAAGCATGAATTGTGTTCGTTTTATACTATAGTGTGTGAATTGGGATTTGCCAACAAGGGTTCTTTATATTTGGGATTGAGCAAAAAGTAAAGGTTACCTCAGAGTTTTCTACAGTTTTGTATGATTGATGGTCTGATCAATTGGGGTCAAGAATTGATTTGGAGGCTTTCACATTTCTGCTGTTTTGAACAGATTATGATCGATCCAGATGCACCGAGTCCCAGTGAACCAACTTTGCGAGAATGGCTGCACTGGTAATACTCCTGATGGTTTTATTCTGAGGAATTTTCTGTAAAGATATTCAGGACTTTGACTAATGGGTCATAGACTTCCAACGAACTGATAGTAAAGTGCTAGGTTAAATGATGATATGGTTTTCCGTAGGTGTCACTTTCGTGGTAAGCTGCTATAGAGAAATTAGGACATAGGTTCCTAAATGTGAACCAAGTAAAAATATTAAATTTTTGTGGTGCAGATTGTTCATAACCAGTATTGTATCAGCAGTACTATCAGTGCAAAGAGATATGGATGTGATATTATGATGCTACGTAAAAGAAAAAACCCTCACAAATCCTTTAATAAGGGGCGGTTTCAGTTTGAATTCTCAATTAGTTACATAATATGAAAGAGCAAAGCTAATGGGTGGCTTGTTTCTGTACAGGATTGTGACTGATATACCTGGAAATAGTGGTGGCTCTGAGATGACAAGTGGTTAGTACAAATTCGAAATTCTAAGTTTGAGTATGCTTAATACCTGATAAACAAACTTGATGTCTTTACAAGCTGAATACCGTTTAGAAAGTTAACCAAGAGTGCATGACCTAGCTATAGCCACATAAATATAAAATTAAGCTCTTTCAAATTGTATTACCAGCTGGTTACTTCTATATTACTTCTTGATTCATCACATGTTCTATTCCTGACTTTTCCTTTTGGGGTCATGTAGGATTTCCACGGCTGAACGAACTAATAGCCCCTTCAAAGAGTTGTGGTAGAGAATTGGTGCCATATATGGGTCCACGCCCCCCTGTAGGTATACATAGATACATTTTTGTATTATTCAAGCAACCCTTAACACCTTTTCACATCACTCCACCCACAGTGCGCAGCAACTTCAACACACGTTACTTTGCTGCACAGTGTGGATTAGGTCTACCAGTGGCAGCCACGTACTTAAATGCCCAGAAAGAACCTGGTAGTCGTCGTCGCTAAATAGTGAAGTTTGTCAGCTCCGGTTTACACGAAACATATGAAACTCTAAGTAAGGTGGCCGCACCTATTAATGGTGGAATTCATTCCCCGAACACTTCGTAGTAATTAGAGTTTTAGTCTAGAGTAGATGCTGGGTTCCACATCCGAAGGCTACAACAGTTGCGCCTACCTTATTTCCAGGTAATTAATTTTGTACAATATGTGCAGCATTGTTCATATCATTGTATGTTCCTGCCCTCAAAATATTTTCAAAGCAAGAACTTTTACAGTCCGTCTTGTTTGCCATCTCACTTTCTTGTTTTTGTTGTTTTGTTTTTTACACATGTACTTCAAAGATGGTTACATACAATTGGTCAAATATTTGCCCAATTCTGAAGATGAATTTTTATTGTAATTCTCTCTTGGTGTTTTCGGTATTATGTCTTATAGTAGAGGCTTCACTAATGGTTCTGGATGCTAGAAATTAATCGTGAGCTTTCTCAAATTGGGATCAATATGAATGTGGAATTGCTGGTATTTCTTCATCGAGAACCACACAATAGTATGAGCCCTGAGTAGAGCCATCATCACAGTGGATATGTTCAGTTGCAACATCAGACAAGTTGTGCCTGAATTATAGACTTCTGCCTTGCACAACTTAATAGCAGTGGCAAACGATTCCCGAGTTATTTTTAGATAAGTGGATACGCTCACGTCTCTTCCTCCAGAACACTGTTTTAACCGAACTAGTTTAATCGGTTACAACACCGTATCTAACTAAACTCACCCTAAAACGGACACGCCTTTAAAATCTACATCTAGATTTCTGCCCAACTCTTGATCCTTAATCTCCTTGATTTCTAACAATTAGTAAATGTTAGCATTTTATTTCTTTGCAAAAGAAAGTATTAGGAATGCTTAGCTTTTTCAACATATAATTATTGAGAGAATAATCTATATCAAAGAATAATACTTTACTAAAATACCAATATGATTGAGTATTCATAGGTATTGATATAAATACAAAAAGAGCACAAGCGGCAAATCACTTGTATCTACAATAAGCGGACCTTTACTCTAATATCTAAGCCTCATAGATCTGAATACTAATGATACTCATACAATGGTAATGAATAGGGATGAATGTTCTAAAACCCTCCTATATTGCAAAATCGTCCATAGTAACAAAAAAAAAAAAAAAAAAAAAAAAAAATGAGAATAAGTATGCACCTATATTTGTGAAACTTAAGAAATGGAGATGATCAAGTTAGTGGTTTTATTTCTATTGACAATGTTAACAATTATTCTTTCACAAACAATTGGATATATTGTTTATAATGTCTTTTGTTGATTAATAGTGGTAATCCTTATTACCATAATCTTAAGTGGTTGCAGAATATACAATAGCAAAAACAAAGAGTCATCAAGCATAGAAGGTGGATATGGAGTTTGTCCAAGCAATGTCCAATTAGATAATAGTCTTGATGATCTATAGATTTTTTTTGATGTTGTTGACTTGTTTCATTGAGACAATGTTCTCTTATTTCTTGAAGAAGATACATTTAATATATTATAGAATAGTTTAGAGCTAGAGGGATTTTCTCTTTAAGATCTAAAGAAGAATGTGGTGGCTAATATCCACAGATGTGTGTTCTTCTAGAATATCTCAAAATTTCCATAAAAGTTCTTAGAAGCCAATTGTCTCAAAAAGGAGGTCTACATCAATTACAAGATATTTCTCTTTTGAAGTAGTAGAGGTGCAAGGAAACTTGTCATTCTTCTACTTCATCTTTGAATAGAATTTAATTTAGAACAACATATTTCAAAGGTTTCTTAGATTTAAGATTTGCTAGGAAGACAAAGTCTCTCATATTAGGATTACTAAGAGAGATTAAGAAAGAAGTAAGGATTTTTGTAGCAAAAGAAGATCTTCATTGTGAAAGCCTTAGACATGCACAAAACATAGCAGAATACTTGTTTGAATTGCCTTCAATAATCATACAGCAAGTGATAGGACAATAATTGTTTTGTATTTAGAAGTAAGTGATGATGTATATCGATTGCTACAGTTGTTGAGAAGGATGGTTGGAAAGTGGAGATGTTGGGTAATTGATATTGAATGGAGTAGAATTGAAGTAGTAAGCACAAAAAGGTTGGATGGCCTTATCTTCTTTTCTGTGACTCTTAAATGGAACCAAATAATAGAGGCACATTACTAAAAATTAGCTTTAGAAGAGGAGAAGAGGCATATGAAATTGAGAAAGTTCAATGAAATGGATTAATATAGAAAGTGGATAGTATTGAGATATGTCAATGAAGATTGATACTATGCAGTAGTTGATGACATGATATTGAATTTAATTCATTTTTTTTTAATAATCTTTGTCATAAGGATTTAATAAATATATTAGCTTCTTATTTTAAAGAGATCACATATTTTAATTGAAATTTTTTATTTTCTATCCTCTTACAATTGAAGTGATGGTGTGTGAAAATGTATTTTTTTGATAGATTAATATCAAGATTTGCGGCCATTTTAATACTCCTTTTATTATCACAATGTATAACAATGGATTTGAATATGTTGAAACCAAAATCTTGTATTAATTTGTCAAGTCAGGTAAGTTTAGAAGTTATTCTTGAGAGATCCATGTATTCAACTTTAGACAAAGATAGCGCCACAGTAGCTTATTTCTTGGATATTTAGGTGATAGGATTCTAACCTAACTTGAAAATAAAATCCATTATTCATCTATCATTGATTAAATCTCTTTTCATGATAATATCTTTAAAATCTGTGATGGTATGATTACGGATGTTGGTAAAGATGATTCTATAATTCGATGTGCCCATAATATAATAAATAATATATTAAGCTACTATTAGATGAGGCATTTGAAGTTGCAATATGAATCTACTTACAATATCAATTGAATAGGATAAATTTGGTCAAATATGATTGAATTGTATTAGTTTTCTAATCATGTCTATGTAGTATATGAGATCTATTATATCTTCATGCATTTTAAGGATTAATTTAAGGCCTTCCACCATAGGTGTCGTAATAGTTTGGCACCCCTCTAGTCTATAGTACTTGATTACTTAATGTGCATAATTTCTTTTTATCATGAATAAACATGTTGTGATGCAAAGGATTTTAGTTTTGAGATATAATATGAGATCACTGCCACTATGCTCTAACATCTCAAATTTGGTCTACAATATGGTCTTGAATCAAGCTATTTAGTTTTTGCACTTGCTTATAAATATAAAATCATCAATATATAATATGAGAAGCAAAATTCTTCTATTATGATGTACTATATAAAGGTTATGGTCTCCTCCTACTTTTTTAAATCCTTGGTCTTATAAATATGTGTCAATTTTATTATACCATGATTTTGAATCTTATCATAGGCCATAGATAGCTTTGTATAGTCAATATACTAGGTGCTTGTATCTTATAATGACAGAACCTCGAGTTGAGTAATATAGGCTTTCTCTTGTAGATTGTCATATAAGAATATTATTTTAATATCTATGTGATGAAGTGGCCAATTTTTTGTATATCAACTACAAATAATAGTCAAACAGTGCCCTACTTTATAATTGAAGCAAAGGTTTTAATATAATCTAGTATTTATTTTTATTCTAAATTCTTTATAATTATTTTTTATTTTTTTATTTTTTCAAAAAATGTCATTAGTTTTTTATTTCGCCTTATAGATCTATTTGGTGGATATGGATTACTTCTGTGGTAGAAGCTTATTGATAGTCTATAAATTATTATCATATATTAATTTTATCTCATCTATCATGGTTGCTTACTATCCAAGATCAATAGTTGCTTGTAGATAAAAACTTGGTTGGGTAGAGAGGTGAAGTAATCCATAGAAATAGACTTATAATTAAGAGGTAATTTTTTATCATTAGTAGCAAGCCATCAATCCAAAAAAGTTATAGTCAGCTTTTTCACAAGCTACTAATATGTATATCACAAGGCTAACTTGTTGATCAAGTTTCTAACCTATCAATTAACTACAAATACATGTGAAGACATAGCAATGTCTAAACAACTTTTATAAAGCTTTTCTAAAAGACATTATGAAATTAATCTACTTTAATCTACTTCTATCTAATCATATAGGTAATTATTGGAATAAATATGTATGTGTCAAAGACAAGAATATGATAAAGACAAATAAACAACTGAGACTCTCTCAAAGAAAGATGAAAAAATAGAAACAACTTGATATATATATTAAGAAAGAAACTAGAATGGCTATTGCCAAAAGCCAAGAAAACTAGAGACTGTCACGGCCATAATCATGTAAGCTAATAATTACGTATAGAAATAGGTAAAAGTAAGTAAAAGTAGATAAAAGTAAGTTAATTCTATAATATTTAATATAGAAGCTTCCTAGAAACTTCCTAGACGTTGCTTTGACTTCATAGGTGTCTTTAATTGACTTTTTGGATTAGAAACGTGGTCAACAAGTTGGCCATGTGCCACACATGTTGTTAGCTTGAAGATCAAGCTAACTATGTGGCCCACACGTAAAAAAACTTGCCTTGTAAGTCAAGGCATGTGTCCTACAAAGTCAACACATATTGGAGGTCCTATAGAACATCGCCACGTAGCCCCTAGTTAGATAGTATATATAGAGACAAGAGTGAAGGCTTCTTCACTCTTGTCAACTCCTTTCTTGCTTCTAGTCCAGGTTCAAGAGTCTTTAGTTTCTTGTCTTGTGGCAATAGCCATTCCAATTTCTTTTTAATATACCTACTTGTTTATATTTTGACTAATTATATCGAGATAGCCTTTTGGTGTATATTTTCCCTCATCGAGTCTTTGTCCTTGACAGATTGACAAGAGTACACTTACAATATCAGAGCTTTGTTTTTTCTTGAGTGAGAGTGGATTACCCCTTTCTCTTGAAAAGACATAAGCGTATTAGAAGTTTGCGGATTACCCACTTCTAAACTGATATTGTTCTTAGTATCTTCTTTGTTATCAAGTCTTTCTTTTCTTTTGTCTTGAGCAATATCAAACAAATTTTTCTTCTTAGTGTCATTATGGCAGAGCTTGTTGAAATGAAGAGTGCAATGGCACAAATGCAAGAGCAAATGAGGGAGTTAATGCTTGCGATGCATCAACTCAATTCACCAACACAGGAAAGAACAAGAATAGCAGAAAGTGGAGATACAGAGATGATCGGAGCTGCTTCAACATCTACAACAAATCATGTTCCTTCTCCAATTGTACAACACCCCATAAGCACTAGAGAACCA